AATACAATGCAACAATGGCAGATCAATTAGATAACGACAAAAAACAATCGATTGATTACATACAAATTAATTTATGCAATAAATCAGGAAGAATAATTGCAGGCTTAGCGAGAAATAATTAACGTTTCCAATAATGGGAAGGATATATATCAAGTCAATGTGATGGGAACGAAATATAATCGACAAAATATAATCGAAACTTTTCAATAATACAATTATCATCTATTGTACCATGTTGCAATCCTGATTAAATATGCTAACTTTTGATAAAACCTTTTAACACACTTTAGTAATTTTTTTAGAAAGGGAGTCCATCAAAGTCGACCGATTTTAAAAAATTTAAATTCATAGATCAACAAAAGTCTTAATTTTCGAAAACTTGAGGCAATTGTGTTATTATTTTTTCACCGTGGTGCTAGCAATATTAATACGGATTCGGTTCCAAATTAAAAAAAAAAATAAACAAAAAATTAACCACAATACAGAAAAATGGTGATAGTTTCACCAAAGCTCTAGGTTGCACTTGATAGTTTATATTTGACAAACATAAGATTTTTTTGAAAAAGTTTAGTACAGAAGGTCAATACTATTATGAGTATTACATACCCCGTTACGGCTTGACGTTAATTCTGGGACACCCTGCATATATACCATGGAGTTATTATTTTTAATATAAAGGTAACAAATTATCAGTGTTTTAGATTAGTTTTTACCCACTAACCAATAATATTTAATGAATTATCTTTTTATTATAAATCTAAAATAACAAGATTTAAGCATACATATTTACACTGGCACTTGTCTAACAAATTCAATAAACTATTATTAATTGTTTAATTAAGTAACTATAAAAATACATAGAACAACTATCTAATTACAGTTATTCTAGGATCTAGATCGTATTAAATTTGCACTTCATAGCTTTGAACAAAGAATAGTATCATATTTCTATTTTCGCGTAATTTGTTATTTAATAATGAGGCAATCATTTCACAAAAGATTTCGAAATACAACAGTATCGCCATAGTCTATTATTATTGCGTTTTAAAACCAAACGGCGATAAAATAGTATTCAATTTAGCTATTTTTGTATGCATCACTTACTAAAATAAATGACTTGATCATAAAATTTTGTAAAACATAAATAATCAGTTATTTGAATTGAGGTCGAATCGTAAAACGGTTCTTTGATAAAATAAATATAAATATTATGCATTTTTGAGTAACCTGCAGAGGAGTAAAATTGAAGTTGCAGATAGTTATCGATGTAAAGAATAAAATATTTGATAAATTAGTAATACAGAATAATGGTGTAGAAATAGATAATTATTGTATATATAAACTGGCCCATAGATCTACTTGAGTAGATTTATTTTCTTTAAGATCACTTAATGGAGTGATCCTGATACTATTATTTTATTATTATTATTATTTTTTATTTTTATATTATTATTATTATTATTATTACTATTATCATTCTCATTATTATTCTTATTATTATTACTGTTATCATTATCATTATTATTTATATTATTATTACATTTATTATATATATATAATTTTTCGTTTTTAAACCATAGCACAATAGCTTATAGAATTTTATGTAATTTTGATTGCTATTTACTAATTAATAAAAAAATTGATATAATAATATAAAATACATTGAACATAAAATGCTATTCAAAAAAAAGTTTCTAAATCGGTCCTTCGTTTCCTAAACTTGATACATAGTAATTATGTAATGGGCATATTTTTTGGGAATAACATTCCAATATCATAAATGAATTATAAAATAAAAGTACAAACGTAAAGTATTCAAATAGAGTATCACGAATAGTATTATATATTTAATCATGCTCTAGTTACCACATGTATAAATTTTTAATTTAAAGATGAAGGGAAAAATCCTATATATACATATACACATAATATATATATATATATATATATATATAAAAAATATATATAAATATTAAAATAAAAATAATGTTCAAAATTAAACTACTAACCCTTTCCACTCGTGCATTGCAACGATACAATATGTTTTGCCCTGGGTTAACCCATGGCAAATTAAAAAATTAAATTAAATGTAATAACAATGATTAACAATTCTAAAATTATAATATATAATTATCGAAGTTATGATTTAATACATTAAAACTCAGATTAATATGTTACCATTTATAAAATAAAACATATTTCAGAATCAGTCATTCATAAAAATGTATGTAATATTTAAGAATAGTAAATAAAAAATGTAGTGAAATCATGTACACAATTAATATAAATATAAATGATTGAAGTTCAAAAAAAATATTAAAAACTATTTTCTATCTAGTTGTTAAGAAATATTTCAAGGGATTAATTTCTACGATTGGTTCGGCACACCTGGCACAGAGGGGTTCCTACTTCCTTATCTTAAATTTCTACAATGATTTTTTTCGTTACCCATAGTAAAAGCATCGTTGCCACGTTTACATTCATTCATAAAATATTCAAATGGAATATTATTTGAAATTAAAGAATAATATTTTATTTTCATATGACTTTTTTAAAAATTATTTTATGAGATGCTTTTTTCTTTGTTGCATGAGCTGAATGTTAGTTTTAACTTATCTGTTATGCTTGCAATGCATCTACTTTGCTTATCAGTTTTAATATAAATTACTTCCTATGCCTTGAACCATCTGTTTAGTTTAAAACAACTGATAAAAAACTTACACTAATAACATTAGAAGACGAAACATTCCATAAGGGTAATATTAAAATTGTTTAATTGTTTTTTATTCAAGTTTACAAATAGAAAATTTTTTTTTGTTAGATTGAAACCAGTAGTTACTAGTAATATTTATGAAGCTTCTGACTATTGAATTTTAATTAAAGAAAATTCATTTCTATGCTCGCAAAATTTAAAAACTTCATAGTCTTGATATAACAGTTATATTGGTAATTATTTTAAAAAAAGTTCGTTCAATAATGACTAATGCAAAATGACATTAGTTCTGACTAATAAAATATATTCAAATTAATTCGTATTACAGCAAATTATTTTTATGCATAAAAATGCAAATTAAAATCTGTCATTTAATAACATATGATAATATATAAATGTTATATTTATGTTCAGCATATAAAATAATCGATTGCACAGTCCTTGACCTACGGACTCAATTTCACGGAAGAGTTGATAACTATTATCATCTTGAAGAGATTTTATTATAAATTTGTAATCGTTGCAGTGAAAATTCATTGTTCTTATTTCTTTTCAATTACAATCAGAAAAACAATCAGCATAATACAAGTATATTAAACAGACATTTAATGATTTTATTGACATTATGTCTTATTTCAACATTTATCTTAGAATCTTGAAAATTTACACAGGTATATTTTGTAAACATGTATACGGTGATGATTTAAACGTTGCATCTGTTAAAAACGAAATTCTAAATATAAAGAATCTCTTAAATGTAAATTTATTAGAATTATGCGTTTGAAGATCTTAGTATGCTATTAATAATAATAATCTAATATGATATTGTCTAACTTTAGGTTAAATATATTTGACATCAGTTTAATTATTACTAAATTTGTTTAATAATTAAATAGTTTAAAATTAACTATTTATTTTTATAACCGGAATATTTATATAAAATTATTTTCTAGATTATTATTATATAACATAAAAAGTATAATAAATTAAGAAATATACATATCTATTTATAAAGACTCATACTTTTGATCTCCATCTCCTCGGCGACTGCATTATTTTTTTAATTTTATTTTAATAATTATAACTATCTTAACATCTACATTTAGTAATTTTTTTGATCAATATAAAAAAAAGAAAAAATGTATTAGGCCGACCAGTGGTAGTCGTAATATTATTGTTGTTAAGTCATCAAATTTATAGACGTTTTAATATATAAAAGGCATAGATCCAGAATTTTATATAGCATTTATAGTTTTTTTTTGCAATAATTAAATAGTATTCACAAAATAAAAAAAATCTATAAGCAATTGTGCTGGTTTTTAGAACTACAGTAATGGTACTGGAGTAATCGAGTAATAGTACTAGATGTGATGGAGGTCTACTCGAGTATTTAAAGTTTAAATGGAAACGCATTTAAAAACAAACAAAAAATAGAAAAATAAATATTCTAATCTATCAAATTTCATATAAATTTTATGTTCCTATCATACACACCTGGAACCTAGTTGCAGCGTGCACGTCCTTGAACCGCGAAGGTTTATCTGTATCTCGAAAACTGCTTTTCCCGACTTGGCTCATCCTTTGCACGCGTTCCACACTTCCACTGTTTTTAGCTGTTCCATTATTCCTCTCACCAGTACTCACTTTGTTCACTTGAAAACGATTCCTTTTGTCCAGAGTACCCATCTCGATACCGGACACATCCTGGTCTTCCGTATTCGACATCTTGAGAGTTGACACTTATTGCACAAAATGATTTATGAAATATAAAATAAAACTACACTATAAAATCTGGCACACCACACACAAAATTCGAGATATTGTCACGTGCCGTTAAAAGACATTTTATTTTTGTAAAATTAAATGAACGTTTCAGTTGTGAACTAAACGATTATTGTGTCCACGTGTTTTTGTGTACGCCGGGAGTATGAAGTTAAAGTTCTCTCCACAGCACTCCGTTTGACACTGAGGCATTTCGAATTGCGCTGACTGGCTTTAGCAGGGTGCGCAACGATGCATGGGCTACGACGATCAGTACCGAATCAGTGACATTGTGATTTCATTCATGGAACTTTTGTGAATTGAACCCGGTTTGGAGCCCCCAATGCGATTCTGCGACCGTTTGACGACTCCAAGTCGTGACAAGGAGCGCACACGTGGCTCCGCGGCCGCATGCGAGATCGCTGACTCGACTCGCGCGTCTCAAGCTGGTTGCGTCTCATTGTTGAAGAAAACTTATACATATGTCAAATGTATGGTTCACACAGGCGATTGTTTTCCATTTGTCAAAACAGTAGGAAAATGCCAGCTGAGATATCACCGTTTCGTCTAATAAATTCTGATTTTTTATAAAAGTTATTGGAATATATACTATTTTACACCTGAAGCAACGGCATTTTTTAAATTTTAAATTTTATCCTTTAACTTAAGCTTAAACTCACAGTTTTAATTAATATTAAAGTTTGTTTGCATATTAACAGTCCTTTGATAGGCTTATTTGAAACTTATATTACAAATAGCAAAGTGGAGCCTGGCATTGCGCCTTAAGAATAATTGCTGAAACTTCCCGTACTGTAATTTAAAATATTTCAAGGTAGCTTTTTTCAATCTTGAAAAATAGATTTTTTTGAGAATTTGGATTTATTAAATTTATAATATAATTTTTGAATTTTCAATTTTTTTATTTTTTTATTTGCAATATTAGAATATTTAAAGAGATTCATTAGAATTTTCCAAAGATTGATTAGAATTTTTTAAATACACTTAAACTTTAACACTTTTGAATACATTTTTTGAATTTACAATTTTATGAAACTTCTGAAAAAAAAATCAACTTTTTTGAAAGTTTGGATCGCCAAATGGTATTTTTTGTAATTTATGAATCTCCGAAACCCCTGAACCTGCATACTCAAAAATGCAATCAATCTTTCATTCCATCAATACAAGTAAAATGTTTTTGGAATCATTTGAAAGTGGCGCTCGGTTCCTCAGAAACTAAGTTTCTATTTCTGGCATTTTTGGCGCCATTTCCGAAACTGCTGGATTTGCCTTTGCCAAAAACTAATCAGTAAGTTACCCTGTCAGTAGAAATCCAATGCATTCAAATCAAACGTAATCTTACAATATTTAGCTTTGCAATCTTCAATTTGATTTTAGCACACATTAAAAAGTATATCCATAATTATGGATTCATTTATATCACATGTAGATTACTTTGCAGAATAAGGAATATCTTCCAATACTATTTTTGAATTCACTTAAAAGTTTATTTATAAATATTTTCAATTACTGTAATTTTATTATGTTACTAATAGTTCCAATTTTGGCGGTAATTCGTGTGTACATTCCTTAAATTTATAATTAACTAAAGTTTTAAATTACTAGTTGTAAATTATATAACTGCCTTTAAATTTGCCACATTGAAAAAAGAACTGTAGCACTCATTTATTGGAACAAAAACCCGTTTCAAAAGCCATTAAAATTTCAATTTTCACAAGTCTATTCAATTTAGCGATAAACACCATTCATTAAATTAAAATGCACGTGCCTTGTTCATGAAACCGTAACATTGACATGCATGTTCTGTTTTCATAAATACAATGAAAAAAGTATAATTAAATATATTCTATTCTATAACATATGTTTCCAAAATTTTTTGACTATTTTAATAATTATTTTTATATCCAACGAGCTGACTTACTAATTCCTTACCAATATGGGCGCCAGTGTAATTTATTTTATTTGACAAAAGCCGGATACACAATTTCCTGTATGTTTTTATTTGTTCAATTTGCAAATACTTATATGACAGCATTTAAAACTGGTTTTAAAATTTTATTACTCAAAAGCAAGTTATACAAAAGAAGAATTATCAACCCTGCATTATTATGTAAAACAGAAATAGACAGAGTGATGGACGTGCTTGTTAGATATTCATATGCGTTGAAATTAGACTCACAAAATCAGAAATACATTCTCATTGCTATATATAATACAATTTTTCCATAATTTATATTGTATTACTATTAAATTATTTTTGTATACCACGAACTAATACCACCCAATGTCTGCATAAATCATAGGTGCATTTTCATATGATCAAGCTTATCAACAAAGTTTGTATTGGAATATAAACCGGGGTCGTGAACTAAAAAAACAGTTCAGTTATCGCAATCATAAATCAAACATATCCAAAATAAATGGATCATCAAAGTGAACGTTTTATAACTGTACTCGTTCGTTTATAAAAAAACTTAATTGAAGTCTATAATAACATACATCGAGTTAACGATAATAAAAAGTATTCCAACTAATATAAAATTATGATAATATCTCAAGCTTCACTTATTTGAATTATGTTGTCTGAAACGTTATTCGATTTATTTTATGCGTTTTATATAAATATTTAGAATCTTATTAAAAAGTGCACATTTTACTTTAAGATTGCTCATTTAATTATTATTATCTTCCCGAAGAAGCAGCTTATGTTTTCGCCACAAAATCCCATTGGCTAATTTAATGTTTTCTTGACTTTTCAAGTTATCATGAATCATTTGACCTTAAACTTGGAAAAATATTGTGTGTAGTGTTTGCGCCAAAATTTGGCCTGTCATCAATGATTTCTCAAAACCACCGCACAGATTTCAAAGATTTAAAAGCATTTTGATAGTCATCAGTCAATCAGTCAAAACGTTTCTTTACAATTAGTAAAAAAGTGCAAAAGATTTCATTCAAGTGTTGGTCATAAACTCCCGAACCAATTTTGAAAATTCAAAAATTACGTTATGAATTTGATAGCAATAAACTTTGTCTGTAGCAACTAAAACAAATCTAATACTTTTTGTTTAAATATTTCAACGAAAAGAATTAAAATATGAACATTTTGTGACGATACGTGCTAATCATTTTAACGTCATACAATTTCAATTCTTCATTATTCACAGTTCAAAATCAATTCCAAGAATGAAATTCATGCGATTTTTTGATAAATAATTTAGATAAACAAACGTGAATCTCTGAATCCTCTACAAAATATATAAAAATTAATGAACATGTGTCACTAACGAAAAGTAAAGGCTTATACACGGTTTTTTATTTTAATTAGTGACAATGCTGTTCAAATACGATTTATTTGTATTGTCTGCAAACAAAGCATTGTTCTAATTTTACACCTTCGGTATTTGTGTCGCTTTGGACAGATTTAAAACTGTCAGCATTATTAAAATAATATACGAAAATTTAGTTCTATTGGTAATGAATAAAATGTGCCTAAAGTTTAAACAAACCCATTGAAAAGTAACATTTCTTTATAAATTATGAAATAGAAAGTCGATTGAAATACATCCAGAAAATTTAAGAAAACCTTCAACAAAAATTGTAAAACGTCTTTCAAATTATAAAAAGTTGGATATTTTTGAAAATCTCTCTCTTGAGTTATTTTCTTGGAAAACTAACTACTCCAAATACAAAAATCAAAGCACTGCATTTTTCTTAAAAATTGTCTCAGGCTATATTAATTAGTATTAAGAACTCAACTCTGAGACTAATTGATATTGTAAAACATTTTTCTAAAAACTAATTACTTAGAATGTAAAAAGCCTATAAATCTGAGAATTATTATGTGCTGAATAGTAATGTCAATATCAAACTGTCGTGCTTTCATTGTAAATGAAATATTTCCACTGAACAAAACTTTCAAAAGACATTTAGAAAAAATGTTTTCAAGATGATCTAATACGACGAATTCTTAGAAATTATTAAAATACGTTCTTTAAAAATTTTAAGGTTGCATTTGATTGGTTTTCTGCGAACTGTTTTTGCAATAAACATATATAGATATATTTAAATTGATTTAAAACTTACATTCATTTAAAAATGTTACTTTGGAATAAGAATGATATTTGATATGCAAAACGGCATACAGATCTTACATATTAAGAAGAAACATTAAAGATTAATTCTATGTTTAATTCCTGTTTAATTCTATTATGTTTGAAGAAAAAAAAAATCACGCTTGGAGGTTTTCATGGTATGAATCATAAGAATGATTACCGTGACTCTATTTTCACAGATAATTTAAAAACGATTCCGCAAACATGACAATAACTTAACATTACACCGAAGGTCTATGAACTTTCGAGAAAACTTTATGTTCCCCAAACCTTGAGAACCAATTCGTAATATGTAATTAAAATTTAAAAATTATGGTGAATTAAGAAAATTTGGAAAAATTAGATTTAAATTACAAAAAAATCCTTCATAGTTGTACTTATTATGCTACATTTTCTGATTTTTGAGTTAATAAAATTCTGATAAAAAACATTCATTACTTCACTTAATGTAATTTCAAAGTTTGGGGTTTTATTTGAAAATTTAGCAAATTTCCATTACTATTAGGTTAAGATATTTAAATTTAAGAAAGCATGATTCATTGAAGACATGAAACGGATGACTAAGTATTGTGTGCCAAAAACTTCAATAAATATGATGACAGGTGTATGGAACAGTTTTGCCGTGAAAAAATTTAGTACTATATATAATACTAAATAAAAAGAATATAATAAAACAATGAATATATTAGTACTGTTGAGAACTATTCAGTAAATAGTAAGATAGCAATTAGCAATAAGTTAAGTATACCAGACTTCATATTAGGGTCAGTGAAATAGTATTAGTATAAGTAAAATAAGATTAGTATACTAATATTAATATCGAAATTCTTGTAAATCAATTCTTAGAATAAGTACAAGTGAAAAAGTATATTTATTGAACAGAGAAGATCAGTAATTATTAAAACGTTAAGAAGTATATATTAAATACTAACATAAAATATAGTAATTAATAATTTAAAATGAAATCTGAAAAACTTAATTTCTGGGTTTACATATCAGAGCGATCCATTAATAAACATCTCTTTAATGCATATGTTGTTCATTGCTATTACAATTTTTCGTACTTTTTAGTCAAATTACAATATTTCTATAAATTTATCTCTAATATGTTGTGAGCTTAATTTTTATTATTTAGCATTTCACATTTAGTGTTCATATGTCTTTTTTGGTTTTTTATTTTTATATATTTTTAGAAATTTAGTTGTATTTAAACTTGATATATATATTTATCATTCTATCTAATAATAACTTTTTTTAAGAGTGTGCCACACAAGGTTTACGATTAACAATAACAAAGTAGAAGCTAAATCAGTTACTTTTTTTCAAAAAATAGTTGAATGATTTTTATTATTAATTTTCTTTTGGTTGACCACATCTGGTCCAGATGGATGATCGATGTTGCTTGGGAGGCGTCGTTTCGCATTTCTGCAATTCGCCGAACGACAAAAGTTGGTTCTTTCTTGAATCGCAGAACTAAACAGACGGACAGGTAAGCGACAGTAACAGGTAAAACCAGTTGTCGGCGGTTCGCGGTTCGTGCGGCCGTACCGCGCCGACGCCACGCAGACGCCTTTAAATCGCCCTGATAAACGGTGCAACGAGACATTCACGACAAAGAACCGGTTCAGTAAAAAAAATTGCACGCACTCGTTATCATCGGCCCTTTAAATAATATTTAAGATAAAGATATAAATAATTTTCGTTTAATCATATCATTTTCTTTTATTATTATATTTTTAACAACAATCAGAACCTTACGTCCTATGAGCTGTTGGGCTCAAAACTTCTCCTTACTTCGTATTTTTAGATGGTAACCCAATGGTTAATCCATCCATATTTGATGTTTTTTGTTATTAGAATTAATCTAATAGGGCTGACTTTTTATTGGTGCAGCAATGCCGGGCAAGGGCTATTTTCACTTGGAAACATATTGCTATCTATATTTCCAAGTGAAAATCGTTGTCACTGCTGCCTGACAACGGCTGCTCGAAGTGGGTATCGTACCCGGGACCTCTGAAACAAGTCCCGGCGCTCTTAACCGCTTACCTGCGGGCGAGGCCATAATTTTTTTTAAATCTTAAATGTAAATCATACTCGAATTTTAATTATGCAATAAATTCATATGCCAATTCTCCGGTAAAATAAACCGTAACATAGTATTGTTATGGAAACCCTATGTTACGCTTTTTTCTTCATATAAAAAAGTAATAAAAACTATCAAAATGCTATGCGATCAAGTATTTTACGCATAAAACCCAACTTCACGTACGTGTTATAAATGCACATCAGAAAGATGCAGTTATGATAACATATATTTTTAATGTTTATGCGTATTCTATCTTAGATTTTATATATATAAAACGCCTGACTGCACAGAAAATACATAACATTTTCACAGTTTTTACTGTGAAAAGCTGCAGTTGCCATAACAACGCTATGTTACTATCTATTTTTTTTTTGAGAATTGGCCCCTCACTTTCAATTATATCGATTATATATTTTGTTCTCAGAGCTAATTACACATTCTTTACACAACCTTTATTTAAGCAACTGTGATAATATATCTTTCCTTTAATTTAACGCCTCATTGCTCGTCGATCCATTTTTAGATTTATTATTCGTATGATTACTTCCGCATTTAGATATTTGATTTCTTGATATATATTAAGACTTCTTATATTATCTTTTCTGCTACTCATCTCCTTCATCACAATTTCATAAACTTTTTTTATACAATTTTATTTTTGTATTTATTTACAAATTTTATTAATATATTTTTTTGTTTTTTGTTTCGTTTTCTCTCGACTTGTTTTTTCCACATTTATCAATAATTTTAGTATTTATTTTTCTAAACAGTAATGATTTTCAGCACCTCGTTCAAAACATTTTTGTTGTCTTTTGATGAATATTGCCATTATCATTATTAGAACTGCTTATTGACGAAATTATTATTCGTGAACGAAAATTTTTTATTGCCAAGTATTTTATATTTTGATCACAAAATTATCATTAAAATTATTACGTTTATAAATAATTAATATCATTTTTATGATAAAAATGGAAAATTAAATATGCTTATTTATTTATATTTCATGTATGCTCAAAATAATTCATAATTTCACTCTAATTGCGAAACTTATAAATCCATTTAGATAGGGTGCATATTCTATCATTCGTCTAGACAAAATTATTCAAACCGGCAATGCAACTCCCCTAAAATAGTATTCCCCTCAAGTCTACATAACAAAATCAATATTTCCCTAAATAACGAAAATATAAACAACTTTTAATTTATTATAAAAATTTATTCAAAATTTGGTACATTTATAAAATAAATTATATGGCTTCAAAATTCAACGCAACTTCCTTCGAAACATTTATAATTATCCAAGAATTAATTTGAAAATTATTGTGGCGATATTGACGAATATAAGCGGTACTGAAAAAAAGATATAAAATATAGAAAAACCTGAGGTCTGAAGGAATATTGTTTAATATATATGAAAGATCCTTACTTCTAGTAACAGTTCTGATAGATCGGATTAAATTCATAACTTGAAATTTAACGGTTGGTGCTTCACCAAATCCTTGAACCGCAGAGTTGGCGCCCCATCCAACTGCAAAACATTGTCAGAGTTAATATGTAGATGACTCCAATAGAATCACTTGGTCTCAAATATTTATGGAAAAACGCCATAAATCATAGAAATATTATGAACGCAATATATTATGTCGAAAAAACAAACTTATAGTATATACATTGAATATAATATGTATATTCTATTTCAACAAATACCAAAATAAAAATTTTATAGGTTATACACGTCAAATACAAAGAAAAATTCACTTACCTTTCGCTAAAAATCTTTCTTCGTGCAATACACACACTGCGTTTAATAGCAATAAACCGGCTTCAAACAAATTCCACAAAGTAAGCATGATTTAGATTTATTATTATTAAAATTAAATTGATACTTATTGAATTACTTCTTATTTTGACATTTGAGATATACACAGACTCTGGGTACGTTTCATGTTTAGCAAACGTATCAGGGATAATATCCTGCTACGACATCTACGATCGAAACGACGTAGACGAATGCCTACGGTAGGTGTGTGTCTACGCCAGGCTAGAACGATTTATTTTTGAATGTAATTTCACATTAATTTAATAATTAGAATAAACATTATTTTTAAAGATTTGTTTATGGTTCACTAGTTTCCGAAATAAAATAAAAAAATTCTCTTTATTAGTTTGATTATATTTACTAACTAATTAAATACAGTTTTAATTTAAATATTAGTTTGAATAATATATGTATTTATACACCGCCAAACATAACTAATATTTTACAAGTGATTATTGACTTCATTTTTACTTTAAAATTTTTATTAAAAAAATTCAATAGATCTTTAAATTGTTCGGATAAATGATAGTGGTAAAGGTAAGATATTAAATTTAATAACCACCAAAACCATATAATTATATCAATAATAAATATATTAATATATTAAATAATATAATAAGATGAAAATAAAAATAGATAATGCAATATGCACATTAATAATAAATTATTTTTGACATTAATTTTATGAATTAATGTTTCAGGTGTTTGAACAATGTCAAGCAGATTAAAAAATATATTAATATGTTTTAATTTTCATCTAACATTATTTGAACCAGTTATTATTAATTAATTCTTTATTCAATAATTAATTAAAAAATGCATGAATCCACAAAAACTGGAAATAAGCAACTCGTGCTGGACATATGTTGTTCTGAAAACAGTCCAGCCAGGCTTGGTATGCATGCTATTTATATCAATTTCTGATTGAAGCCTATTAATGTTTATTTTTTTATATTTATTCAGTATATTTTTCATAATATTATTATTTAGTTTTAATGAATCATATTTGTAAGGTGAATTAAAATACTCTTCTAAATTTATTACTTCCAGATATTAAATTAAAACCTTCATTTCATGATAAAAAAACTCTTTTTACAGATATTCAAATATTTTTCATATTATTGCATAAACTTAAATGTATCGATTTAATTAAATATTAGTTAAATATTTTAAATAAACAAGTAGTAATTATATTTCAATTTAAAAAAATAAGATACTTTAGTCCTTTTACTTACTACATGTCCTTGCGACCACTTGTAAATCTTGTTTCAAGCTAAATTATTACTAGCAAATAAAATCAATAATATGTGCATTTGCAAGCTTAAAAATTAAATAATTTTGACGATTTGATAATAAAAATTGAGTACACATTTTCATAAATATTCAAACAAATTACAGTCCTTATTTTGGCTATAGTTAAAACCACTATCTACTTAACCAAATGAATTAATAAATAAAAAAAAATTAATAAATAAAAATTTAGATATAAAATAAATATAAGTCCATAAATACATTTTTTTCCCTTGTGGTTTTTGCAGTCTCTGCACCGATGTAAAACCCAGTTGCACAAACATACGTTTATTTATCATTTAAAATTAGTTTCCCATAACATATTTCATAACATCACGTAGCAATTCTTAGCAAATATAGACTAACAGGTTTTCAGCTTCTAGGATTCGAAGATGCATCATAAAATCGGCGTAAAGAGCAAACGATGATCGAGTTTTCTGGTTAAGAAATGAGATCAACGCACTGATTACCTAGTGCGATGAGAAACCAAGAACTAAACTATTTTGAGATGATGCAAGCAAGGTCCAGTGAAAGGATCCGTGTTAGTTATTATTATGATTAAGACACTAAGGTGTGCAGATATATAGTCGGCACTGCACCATATAAGCGCATCTTCACATCTGTTCCGATGTGGAAGAAGGCATCAAAGTTATGGCATATACTTTCCTAGACTAGTTGAGATGAATGCATTTGGTATTGAGAAGAAGAATGAAAAAAATCAGTAAACTTGGAATAAGTCTAGTGATGGGAGAAGAGACATTGAGGGTAAAAATTTGATCATAGTATAAAGTTATTGCAAGAAACTTAAATAGAGAAAAAAATCAAATGAGTCTCTGATGATCCAAGTTTCATCAGATAAAGATTGACTATTGCTCAGTGCGCCATGAAAAAACAACATTTTGGACGTGACAAACAAAAATATCAATTGATTTTTTGGCTTGAAAAAACTCTAGATTAAAGGAAAGATGATGCAAAAAATAGATTCATATAAATCATACTTTTCAAATTAAGAAAACTTTTCAAATAAATCTTTAGTTATTCAAATTTTGCAATCAAATTTATAAATCAAAGTAAGCAACAAAAAAATACAAGTTAAGACAAACAAGTCAAATTTATAAAATAAAGTGAGCAAACTTAACTGTGAATTATTTAATGTTATTATTGAAATGCACCTAAATAATAGGTACTCTA